ACTTTTAATAAAGTGCGTCTCTTTCCTTATTGTATATATTATTCAGATATATCCATCACATTTAGCTGGAGATCTCATTTCAGCCTCAATGTGGTTTTAAAGTTTTAATGAAATGCCCCATCGGTGTTTGCTGAAAATGCACTCTACCTTTTTGTCACATCACCTGTGTCTATTGAATCAAGAGATCTTCCTCTAGCTGTCCTCCTCCTCTCACACTACAGCAACGGATGGGGAGGCAGTTTTTGTCGTTTGTTTGGTGAGTGGGCTGAGAGGTAAAGCTAACACACGGTATGTTGGGGACGAGGAGAGGGGAGGGCGAGGGAGGGATAGACCTGTCTGAGAGGATACTGCTATTGAGTTGCAAATGAGCTTGTAATTAGCCCTTACACATTTGCCTGAGGGAATTAGTGTGTGTGTGTGTGTGTGTGTGTGTCATTGTGTGTTTTTTAACCCATTTTCCTTAGAATAGGGGTTGATGGTGATAAGCAGATAATACTAATTACTTCTCCTCCCAATTGCTTGTTAATTGTGCTTGGTGTGGATTTATACAGCATGGTAATACCCCCCATTCCACACACACACACACACACACACGATGCCCCCCGCTTTGCCTGATGGCAAATTCAACAGGTCATTTTTTAAGCAGGAGGCTTCTGTTTAAGCCACTAATTAATTATGCCAGGTGGGGTTCCACCATCTATGGGTCCAGCCAATGAGGATGTGTGTGTGTTTGTGTGTGTGTGTGTGTGTGGCTGTGTGTTTGTGTGTGTGTGTGTGTGTGTGAGCATTAGTTTGTAGTTGATAACAAGTTTAACATATTCCCCAGTCTGTTCTTGGATTAAAACCCAATACGGTGACCAAACAAAAACCCACAGAATTACAGATATCTACTGAAGACAAAATGTCTTCCTTAAACAGTAAAGACAGCACTCTTTAACGTTAACATTACAGTAAAGTGAAACAGGACTTCAGAGACCATAAAAATGCCAGTTGATCTTTTGTCATTGCTTGAGCAACAAAAGAACACACCGGGCATTTTCTTCACATGTTTACCCAGATCAGAGTCACAGACTGACAGAAAGCAAAAACCTATGCCAGTGTTGTGGGCAGGGTAGATTTATTTATCATTTTATGACACAGGGTTGTATAATGAGACCACCAAGTGATTCTTATCATGATGTCAACATATGAAATTTATCAGCTCGTGGTCTTAATGAACTTGCAATGTGTAAATAATAGAAGCTTGGCACAGGGATGCAAACTTGTCACCTTTCGGCAAATCCAAAATAGGCGATTTATGTGATATGTGTAGATCCAATGAGTTTTTCAAAATGGGGGGTGAGATGGGGCAGCGAGGATGGACAGACACCTCCACGTAGCCGCAAGAACTGTGGTTGGATGGCTTGGTAGCATCACATTTCATCCAAGTCCCCAGGAAGTGCTCTGTGCTTTGAAGCCATTTTTACTAGTGGCCGAACAAGCAGCTGTAAAACGGTATATCCATTTTTTTGGGTCACAACCCCGCAAAATTTGATCCATTTGGTTGATAACATTTGGAAAGTCTACAATAGTCGCATCATGATCATTTTACCCCTATTCAAGTTAGTGGAGGGCTAAACTGGAAGTTAGCAGGCTTCAGGGCAGCGGTGGTGGTTGGGGGGAGGGGGGGAGTTATGTTGATGTTGGAAGTTTTCCACAGATATTTAGGCTGTCGGCCATTTGGTCAGCCTCCGTCCTCCTTTCCTTCCTCAGAGCTGAAGGGCTCAGTCGGGCATTCAGATCTGGTGTGTGTGCATGTCCTTTGGATCACATCTTCAAGCAATTGTAGCTTTCTAGTTCAACTTGCATGTGTTTGGACTGTTTGAGACAGGGAAGTAGAACATTTAAAGTTAATCACGGAGAACACGTAAACTTTACATATAAACGTGTCTGAACTTTGCTTTGCAGTGAGCTGTTCATGGCTTATCTTTGGCAGTGGTTCAGAGAAAACGACTACTCTGTGTTGCTGCAGGAGTGTGTCACCCGCATGATTAGTGATGTCAAGATTATTTATTTTACGGAGATGTACAGTATAATTGCACCATATAATTAACACCACTGACCCGCCACCCTCACATCATGTCCATCCCATCACCATCTTATCATTCATCCTCCTCTAACGGCTTGGGAGCACTTAAGCAGATTTTGGTTCAGTCTGCTCTCAAAGTGTTAAACAGATTGGTTCGTGTGTGTGATGGAGTGAGTGTGTGGTGGTCTGCTGCGTGAAGTGTCTGAAACGTGGAAGGGTTAGATTAGCTGTGAGCATGATCTTCACTGAGCTCATTTCCCCCCTTCTGTGCCAAAGAGTGTGACTCACACACACACACACACACACACACACACACACACACACACACACACACCTACCACCCTTTCTAGTATTTTAGATTTAGGATCTAGCATGTATCAAATGATTGCCTACTGCTTATAAAGTAATTCTATACGCTTTCTATACCCTAAACTCCACTGAACAGCTTCTCAGGAGCAGATTTGGAAAACTCCCTCCATGATGGTGCTGAAAGGATTAGTCGACTTGTTGACTGAAAGAAAATAAACTTATGTCACTTCTGATAATTGATTAATTGCTTAAAGCTATTTATCTTTTAAGTATTTGCCAATTTTCAACTGTTTTTTCTCTCTTTTATTACTGTAAATTGATTATCTTTGGGGCTCCGGGCTGCTCGTTGGACAGCTGTTTCTTGTTTTATACTGTTGTAACTTGTGGTAGATTTTTACTGTTTGTCAGAAATAATACATAGACTAAACAATGAGAAAAATAATTTTAAAAAGCCATTCAACATTTGATTTAAAAACAAATTCTTAGTTATATCTCTAACAAAACAAGTTTATGCAAAACTGACACTCTAAATACAATAATACTGTTTTGGGTCCTTTCTAAAACTATTGACAAAATGTCATATTAAACCTAGATCTCTTTTTAGGCTGTGCCCTGTGTAAACATTTTAACATGTACAGAAAACACACAAACGAGTAAATATTTACATATAGCCTATATAAAAGTTAATTAAAACATACAGAACTACAATTCAACAGAAACAAATACATATAACATCATATGTATTCTCCATAACATTTCTAAATTGGGTAAGTGACACCAGACAGTTTCATTTAGACCTCTGGCGTCTCCAGAGTAATCCACAATGTGGTGTTGATATTTGTTAGTCATAATTGGTGATTAGGCAAAAAGGTGTCAGATGAAGCCACAGTCATAATTTTGGGGTGTCAAACCTGTTTTGTAAAACCACATAAACATTTTAATTGCTTAAATAATGAAAACTATTAGATCTTATTGTAAATGCTACATATTCATACAGGGAAAAATTTCATTTGTAGCATCTTACTATGTTTCATCAGTAAATATTTAAAAATCAGAAAAATGATTTATTCTGACAAACTCAATGTGTGAGTAATGGTCCCAGAATTACTCCAACTTGATGCTCATATGGACTTTTAAATACCATTTTTATAAATTGTGGAACACAATTGATCGGTTTCATAGTATATTATATATAATATAGTCCACGGTTCATTTTCATTTAAATTAATTTTCTGTAATTCATTGGGTGTATGAGTAGATCAGTATTTGCATCCCCAATATAGCCTACATGAACTGAAAAGAACATTATAAAAAACATAAACATTTTATGAAACTTATTTTGATTACAATGAGACAATTATCAAATACAGATTATTCAAATTATTTGCATCCACAAATTGGGGCTCCAGATGTTCGTGGATCAGCGTCAATGTCAGACCCATATCTGACAGATTTGTAGACAGATTTTAAGCCACTTCACCTTATTTTAAATCAGATGATCCTTCACCTGACTGCAACCTTTACACAAAGCCTCATATTCGCTCCAGGGAGTAATCTGTGTCTGCCACCAGAGGCCTTTATTGTTGGCTGTAAGTGAAATTGTAAGTTTAATATCTACAACTTAACATTTTTATTCAATCTTTGGTCCACTGATTCTTGGCTAAAGTGAAATATTTTCCTTGGCTAAAGTGACATAAATATTTTCCCTCTAGGTGATGTGCAAATGAAGTTTAACATGTGTTCATTCAAGTTGACAGATGCTTACAGGATCCTTAACCTGATTAATAAGAAAAGTATCCTATAAGACTGCATGAGCTACTGAGATCAGAAGGATTGAACCAAGCAGCAGATCATTAATTATTTGTCCTGTCCTGAGTTGCACTGCCGCACATCGATGCCTAAAGGCGTTTTCATTATGTCTTGGCCAGACAAAAGAACGCCATAGATTCAAATTTCTGTTTTAATTACATGACTGGTCCAGGATCGCTACAGCTTTGTGACCCGTGATGTCCTCTCGGCCAAATCTTGAGACAAATGTATATCGATTTTTATGACCATGTGCACCGTGACATCCACGTGTGTGGTAGAGTTACTGTTACTTATCACGGCTTTAAAGTTTTCTATTTCTATTTATAAAGGCAAAATGGACCATTTCTCGCATTTTCTTGGATTGCCCCTGCTGTTAAAACCAGAGTTGTTTTCTGTATGCAATGTCTCACTCCACATGTAGGCCTACTCCCCTCCTCATCTCTTCCCGAGGCAGGGCTCCATCTCCAGATCCGACCTATTGAATAACCTATCCTCGCTTGTTTGCTCTCTGCAGTCATCATGGCAGTCAGTGTATCCTCAGGCTAAGCCAAACAAGCTGATCAGCCAGTCACCTCTGTACACACTGCCCCCCACTAAGAGGCTAATGGACGGGACGTATAATCCTTCTCAAAACAACTACAGAGATGCTAATTGTATCTAGCCTAGCTATAAATACACTTTGACTCCCTGTCCTCTTTCTTTATTCAGCTCTGGAAACCTGAAGCCGCCGCCGTAGCGCACCGGCTACTCTGGAAGATTTCTCCAAATACCAGGAAGGACTCAGACAGATAAGTGAGGCAGTGGGTAGATGCTGCAAGTGCCAGTGCACTTGCCATCACTTCAAAAAAGCGAGCAGTGAGCGCACGGAGCTTTACGCACGGTTGGATACATAATTTCATGCGCCCTGTGAATATTTCCTCACTTCTTCGGTGAGCTACCGAGAAGCAACCAGCCGAGATGTTCCCCCTGCCGATGTTCACACCGGACCAGGTCGCTCGGGTGTGCGAGAACTTGGAGGAGACCGGAGACATCGAGCGCCTGGGGAGGTTCCTGTGGTCCCTGCCCGCCGCCGTGCCTGGCTCCGCCGGGGAAGCGCTGAACCGACACGAGTCCGTGATGCGAGCGCGGGCGCTGGTCGCCTTCCACGGTGGAAACTTTGACGCTCTTTACCAGATTCTCCAAAGCCACCGGTTTACGCGCGAATCGCACGCCAAGCTTCAAGACCTGTGGCTGGACGCGCACTACCGAGAGGCAGAGCGGCTGCGGGGGCGGCCGCTGGGCCCCGTGGAGAAGTACCGGATCCGCAAGAAGTTCCCCCTGCCCCGCACAATCTGGGACGGCGAGCAGAAGACGCATTGCTTTAAGGTAAACACCATGTAGCGATACTCTTTGTAGTGTTTTTTTTAACCCATGGAACCCACTTACAACCCACGTGTTTCCCAGTGAAAATTGAATTGATCAGGCGCTGATCCGGACCTCATGGCATCAACATGCGTTTAGATTATATGTAGGCTATCTTAACATTGAAACTTGACCACCAGCTGCTCTCTTGTGAAGGTGCTTTTTAACCTGACGCCCTATCAAACTATCAAACAGCCTGGTCTTTGAGCTCTCAAGCTGATAATGTTCAGAGCCCTGGTTATCCTTCTGCATTCTGCCATGAAGTCTGCTAAACTCCTTAAGGCACTGAGAATCTTCATAGACATCCTTAAGGCACGGTGGAACTGTGGCAGAGAGCTATCAGAGATCTCACACACTTTTTCATGCTTCACCATATACTGGTAAACAAGGTCAGACAAATTGATTATGGCCAAAACTAGTTTTGCCACCGATTCTTGTACATTTTTATGTCCATCCAAAAGGGTGATCAAATTGTGTTAATGTGGTGTTTGGCTTTTACTTTTTAATAACATAGGCCTATTTATCTGTATGTCTAATATGTTCTTGTGTTAAAAATGGTCACTTCAGCATTACTGTTCATCTTCTTTTTATTTTCTATTGTCTTTGCTGTAACATTTAATGTGTGCAGATGCAAAGGCCAGATTTCTCCATGGGATGCATGTAGGTTTAATTAGCAGCTACTCCTTTCAAATTTCAGCACAACTGTAACTGTCTATGAGTGCAGACTTGCAGGAGTCTAAATAAAGCCACATATCTATTATCCAAGGAGCCTATATACACGCATATTCCATATTTAAGAGCAACCTTTTCAGTGCATCACTGCTGTTAGAAACCATCAGTGGTGTCATTTTAATAAAACTATTTTGCCAGTCACACACTAACTTGTAAAGCCCTGATGTGCATCTTGAGCACCATCATGTAGGCTATACAAGAAATACAGAAAAATCGTCATGAGGTCAATAGTGGTTCTTTCGGAAACAAATTCATTGTATTTTTCCACTTAAAAGTTATGATAACACCGCTTATTTGTTAAATTTCACAAGAGAGAGGAATGAGCTACAAACCCGGAAGAAAAAAGTCAGTAAAATGATATGTGTTATAAAGCAAGGAAGAATGCCCATTGCCTGTTGGGTGTTCATGTGTGTGATCTCCCTCATGTGGCAGGGGGAAGTAGTGTTTATAAGTATAGTTAATCTTTAATTCCAACCCTCAGGAGGGATAGTCTCTCCAACAGCCTTTTAAGCCCCTTAACATGATCCCATTTAGTGGATATACATTGTTCCTCTGTAGCTTGTAATTATCTATTTATAAATCCAGCCTAATACGATTATACTGAGCATCATATGAGAGTGACAAGATTATCGAGGTTTTGTTGGAGATCAAAATACCATATGGTGTCTTTTCAAAGTGCTCTAATTCAGTATTCAGAAAGAAATTGCACAGAAGTTGCAATTCCATGCTAAAAAGAAAATATAACATAACATGTTAGTTGAATGAAGCACAGCATCCTAACTATTCCATATGTTTCCACGTGTGTCTCTAGGAAAGAACTCGTAGTTTGCTGAGAGAGTGGTACCTCCAAGACCCCTACCCCAACCCGTCCAGGAAACGCCACTTGGCCCAGGCCACGGGACTCACACCCACACAGGTCGGCAACTGGTTCAAGAACCGCCGCCAAAGAGACCGTGCTGCATCCGCGAAGAACAGGTACCTCAAAAATCACAAGTGATTATGACTAATGAGGAGAAAAGAGGAGGAATATCTGGCTTACAGCAACACAAAATGTGTTGTTGTAGATGTGTTATAGATCAAATTTGTGTTGTAAAAACCTTGTTCTGAAGTAAAATGTCTCTAAAAAATGTGAAAAAACTAAATTGGCTTTTTAGCAGGATTCATGAGGCATTATGAGGCAAAGTAATGCAGGGAAATGCCTCTGCCTGAAGAGTACTGTTAAAAAAGACTCCAGTGTGGGACCTTTTTCATCTCTCTCATCTCTCCCTCCACCCAGACTGCAGCAGGATTCTTCCCTCCTGCCCTCTGAGCGCTCATCTGACGGCTCCCTTCAGGAGCGCCACCATCACCCCCACTTGTTGCCTGCGTCCCCTCGCCACCCGGGCAGCCCCGAGGCCAGCGACTGCAGCACGGAGACCGAGCGCAGAGGAACAGGAGCCTCCACTCCAGAGATCTCTGTCAGCAGCGACAGCGAGTTCGAGTCCTGAGATGACGGACTTCTTTTCATGGACAGACTCTCGTTCCCTGCAGAGGCGAGAGCAGCGTCTGTCATCAGACTCAGACATCTGTTAAAGACACTTGAACTGTCTGTGGACACACTAAAGGTGTTCTCAGTGGGAGGAGGAGGCCACTTAATGTGGCTCTGAGTGGTATTGTAAGGGAATGATATGCAGGAACAACAGGCACTTAAAAAAGCGCCATGGCACATGACCTTGACTGTTATATGAACTAGTTTACAGCTGACCATGATTCAGCACTGTTGAACATAACATAGAACGGGTACTTTGACTTCAAATACAGTGTTTATCAGACAATTCTAGAAATAATGCCAATGGTCTTTAGATAATGTGAATATTCATATTTTAAGTTTTGATAACAATTTCAGTAAATATTTTTGGATAGATAATTTTCTAATAGTTATTATGTAAGTTACATAATTAATTTGTATGGAAACTGTGAGGACACAATGAACAATGCCTTGAGTAGGCTATTAACATTATGTAACTACATTTACATGCACATTGATGACTTGATTAACTTCAGATTATGGCAAAATGCCAACTATGGAAAGAGTCATGTAAACAATTCAGCTGGCTTATTCAAGCACATAAGGCCTGTAAATTAAATCAATTATCAGCATAAGAATAACCTAGAGTTTTGCTCAGTCATTCTATTTATTTGATCATGTAAATGCGCGACCTGTTTTCACACAGTGTCACTGCACACTGCTAACAAAGGAGGAACTTCAGTAGTGTGGAAGTAGTTTGGTTACGAAAGATCAGATGCACAACAAACCACGGTAATGTGTAAGAAGTGCAAGAAGACCTTAACAACAAAAAAGGGCAATACAACAAACTTATTTCACCACTTCAAGCAGAAGCACCCGGTTGAGTAAGAGGAGAGCAAAACATCCCACGGTGAGCGCTCAACAGTTATTGTGAGTTTAAGCCAAAAATAGAAATACCGTGAAATAATATTGTGAAATATTGCAATATTATTTTATATCAAATTGTCCACCCCTAGTTTTCAGGTTATAATGTGCATAGAAACATAGTGACTGACCAATTTAACACATTTCACTGCCTTAAAAAGGAATTAAGGGCATCACTCTTGTACAATGCTTACACAAATAACACAAGTTTAGACAGACTTTACACACATTTGCTGCTAAAATACAAAGCATTTTATTACCGACTGGGCTCTTTTGGTTACTGTTTGAAATATACAGAGCTTTTTGTAAAAATGCTCCTGAGCTGCTCTGACAATGAATTCTTGCAGGAGCTGAAACAGAAAACATGAAACAGCGAGAATGTAAAGCAATAATAGGTCTTAACTCAATGTGCCTGTTACATTTGAGAACAGTGAGACCTTGTCACACATGAATGTGTCTGAACGACACACTCAAAGGTCTCCTGTATGCTGTCTTTCTTACAACCATCATTTCTCAGAACACATTGCTGCATTTCAATAAAAATATGTATTTTGTAAATGTTTTATGTAAATAAATGAACCTATTTTTATTCAATGCTAAACTGACTCATTTATTTATAAGTTTAATTCAGTATTAAGGCACGATCATTTCATCCACCGAGAGAAAGCAGTGAACATAAGTAGAGAAAAGTCTCTCCAGAAGTGGGCAGAGAAACGACATTCAAATAATAAATGGGCCAAACGTTCTTCTTTTTTGCAAAATGATCAGTCTATTGTGAATGCCTCATTAAAAATAACATTACCTGTTTCAGAAAAGTTTGGTGTAGGTCTCACTCCTCCCTGGCCACAGAAAATGGGTGTCCTCACATTCGGTAATCCCGCCCACACTTGAAGGAGTAGCAAGAAGACTTCTGCTTACCTGTCAGTTGCAGTCACAGCTATATTCATGTGTAATAATCTTGTATTCGTCATTTGTTAGTCTGACCCCTGTCCTGACAGGAGGGAGTATCTTGAGTTATTTGTAGTATTTGTTTAAGTATGGACAGCGAGGGGAGAAAAGTGGTGGTCTGTGACAATGGGACAGGGGTAAGTCCTGTGCTTGTATTGTATTATACAGTAGCTCAGCACAATAACAGCACTGGTTGTTGTCTTTCTTTGTTGTAGATCTGAAGGTTGTATTCAAAGTTCTGTTTTTTAATGCAAACCTACACCAGGCGTGCTAAATATCTGTTTTATTTGAAAGGTGTTGTTCTAACAAGTCTGCTTCTGGATCATGAAGTGGTTTACAGCTGAAGGGTGTGAATCTGCAGCCTGATTCCACATCTGTCTGGACTTGTCACTCTGACTATGTCCACACAGCCATATATGGTTGTGATGCTTTGAACTGAGCAACAATTGGATGAAAAGCAGGAAGAGAGATTTGAGGCACTAAAATCATGCCACATTGTGGCGTGTAAATGTTGATATCCGGACACTGCAGTTAAGACACATATGTGTTATACCTGCAGTCAGAAACTGTCTGTATCCTATTTTTTTTTTTACTTGGCTTGGAATGTATTGCATCCCTCTAGGCTAAGGAATGTGGATATGGCCACAAAGACAAGTTGAGACACTACAGTGCGAGGCACAGTCATGACAGGCAGAGAAACTGATGATCTGTAGTGAATTGCAGGCCATTTAAAAGTAATGTAACAACATTTCTTTTTCCCCGTGCTTGCCAAATGAATGCTTTTACACATGTAATCAAAATGCAATTGTATTGTCTGATAAATAATTGACAATCTGGTAAATGGATCATGATAATACACTCTGCGACAATCTCCTGGATACAGATTAAGACTAGTGACAGATTAAATTTAACCGATTTATGAATGGATATTACACTTACAACATCAGTTCAGGGCTAAACAAACAAACTTACATTACATTAACCCCTTAACGCCGATTGTCGCAATTCGCAACACACCTATTCCCCAAATGCCTGTTAATGTGTTTCATTCTCAAATCCCTCCCCAGTTTGTCAAGTGCGGCTTTGCTGGCTCCAACTTCCCCGACCACATCTTCCCCGCCCTGGTGGGTCGACCAATCATACGATCAAACACAAAAGTGGGCAACATTGAGATAAAGGTGAGGCTACTACTTGCTCTCTCACTGAACCTGGCAGCTGAAATCAGCCTGGTAGCATCTGGGTTGTGATCATGAGCAATTTCATAAGAACGAAACATAAACGTTATGTAAAAGTATTTTCTTTCAGGCCTCGCTTTGCAGATTTCCCCCCATCCTATCTGATGGAACAGGTTTTGGCTTGAGACAAACAACAACAGCAACATGAGAATAATAAAGGGAATGAAAAAGGGATAAAAATCATTCACCTGTTAACACCTAGATTTATGAACAGAGTCACCAACCTTGCTACTACCTCTTATAACAAAAACACTGTTATTGTATTCTATTTAAAGCAAAGGGCATGTCTGATAAGTCTAGATGCACGCTGCATGACTTTTTCAGCTAATTACCTGACCTACCTCTTCTCCTCCAGCTCTTCTTAACTCTCAGCTCATTTGTAAAGAGTATTAGCACTGTACACCTGTTAGCTTCCTAAGACACAGTTAAGTTCGTATGCCTGTGTGTAGGTCATTCAGCTCTTGTAATCTTCACTGGACTGCGCACAGACATTTTGTAGAGCAGGAGAGCAAAGGACATTGCCACATAAAATACAGTACAAGGTAGGATAGGTACCCCCTTTGTAAAGATAATGTTTTGGTAATGTTTGCTTTTAATTCACAATCAACATCAGAGTCAAGGCAAAGACATCAGAGTTCCCCAGATAAACACATAAGATTTGTTGAAACCCCAATCATTTTTCAATACAGACTGAAATGTATCTGTACCGTCCAGTATCAGAAGTTGTCATCACATCCTAAGTTCTTGTAAGGCTGCTTGTACGAAGTCAAAAACATGGGCGCTCATCCTTTTAGATTTTTTGTCATATTGTATTGCATCTTAGCATATTTGTTAACTTTTTTATTATATATGTTGTATTGTATCACATTTTACTGTGAAGCACTTTGTGATTCTGTGAAAGGTGCTATACAAATAAACTTTACTTACTTACTTTATATATATATATATATATATATTTTTTTTTTTGATTACTCATTTTGTTAACTCTTATTGCTTCCCCTAGGTCTTTATCCCATTTCATAGCTGGCAAAGTTTAAATAAACAGACTTTAAAGTAGGGAAAACTTGATTAAATATGGTAACCTTTGTTTAGTTTATAAGATATTACACAGCACTGCTTCACCTCCACTGAACGCATCACTGTCAGGTTACCAGAGGTATCATAAGAGGGGACTGTATCATTCCCACTCGAAGAAGTGGTTTTAGTCAGTCAGTGTTCTCAGTAACAGCGTTTAAACAATGAAACCTATTGTTAATGCAGATCTTTTACTGGTCAGCTGAACTGACTAATGTTTGCTCAGTCTTTTAATAATCAGATACTGTGCTTTTATAATTATTTTGAGGTTGCCTACTGACCACTAGCATGTTGAGCTACTGTTACTATGCTGTTATTTTATAAGCACTATCCTGTCAAATAAACAAAGGAATGAAATGAAGTTGATGCCGTATGCATTAAGAGCTCCTACTAGTATCTATTGTTGCTCGTAGAGCTCTTACTTCACTGATGCTTGTTGTCCCTCAAATGTAAGTCGCTTTGGATAAAACAGCTGCTGAATGAATAAATGTAAGTGTAGAGAAAATGTAGAGTACATTTGTAGACAAAGAAGAGAAAGGGTATGCTTAAAATATTTCCCTTTCCACAAGAGAAAAACATTTGCAGTCCTAATCCTGCATTTACACAAAGATAAATTGACAGACACACTACAAAAAAGTTCCTTGTCCGTTTGTTCTGCACCTAAAGTTGGCCTCTCCCAAGGCTGAACTCCTGCTCTCTCTCACCAGGACCTGATGGTGGGTGATGAGGCCAGTGAATGTCGCTCCATGCTGGAGGTGTCGTACCCAATGGAGAACGGCATGGTGCGCAACTGGGACGACATGCTCCACCTGTGGGACCACACCTTCGGTCCCAGCCGCCTGAACATCAACCCATCAGAGTGCAAGGTAGAACACAGCTGGGCAGATGTTGTATTGCATGCATTTTTATTAAATTTGACCAAATGTTGTATGCCCTTTGTAATTTGGTGAGTCCAGATTTTTTGTGTGTATCATTCTGTGTGCACCTGTTACAGAGGTTTCAACCTTTCACAATAAAGCTCTGATTGTAACATCACATGGAGTAACAAAACAAAACTCAAATATACTAAAACAGACCAACTTGTAATTAATTGTACATGTTTTGTATTTCAGTGTTATCCTCTCTTGCTGTAACCTGCAAGACTTTCATATATCGTGCCTGGAATAACACTACATGGTAAGCTTTTAAAGCATTCACTCAGTTTGTGTTTGCTTCTTCAAGATCCTGCTGACTGAGCCGCCCATGAACCCAACCAAAAACCGGGAGAAGATCACAGAGGTCATGTTTGAGAAGTACCAGTTCCACGGCATTTATATGGCAATTCAGGCTGTGCTCACTCTGTACGCTCAGGGTAAGACATCATGTAATGAAATAAATACTCCTTCTGGATTTCAGATTCTAACTTCTCCTTCCCGTTCAGTTTGACCTCCATAGATTCACTGATTGTTGCAATGATCATAATATTCTCTTTTGTGTACAGGTTTACTGACCGGTGTGGTCGTCGACTCGGGGGATGGTGTCACCCACATCTGTTCGGTGTATGAGGGCTTTTCTTTACCCCACCTCACGCGCAGGCTGGACATTGCAGGACGTGACATCACACGCTACCTCATTAAGGTGAGCAAGGTGTTGCTCAGTCCAGCATTTGGGATGTAGGGACTCAAGAAATGGAAAATTATCCAAACTAAGAAAACAAAAGTGGTCAGAGTAAAATTGTACGTAAAAAACCTGCAGCTGTAGATGAACAAGCATAAAAGAACACAAAAACACTCCTTGATCTAACAAGTCAACTTACATCTTCCCGCCATCAGCTCATGCTTCTCCGGGGTTACGTCTTCAACCAAACGGCCGACTTTGAGACAGTACGTATGTTGAAGGAGAAGTTCTGCTATGTGGGATACGACATCGAGCAGGAGCAGCGCCTGGCCACAGAGACCACCGTCCTGGTCGAGTCGTTCACGGTATGATGAAGAATAAAATCCCAGCAAAGCATGTTTTGTGAATCATTCCTATTCACTTTCTTTCTGAGAGCTAGATGAGAAGATTGACACCACTCTCGTGTCTGTGCGGTAAATATGAAGCTAAAGCTAGCAGACCATTAGCTTAGCATAAAGGCTGAAAACAAGGGAGAAACAGCAAGCGGGGCTCCTACTAGCACCTTTAATTCCTTTTGGGAATTACATGGTTTAAACTAAGCCAAGCTAACTGGCTTAGTCTTAAAGATGCAACAGTTACTGATAACAAAATGGTTAGAAAATTCAGTTTATGAACTTACCTGGAACTTGGTGAATTTTCCAATATCTCCTGTACCTAATGCCGCATAACATAACATCTTATTGTTTAGACCGTAAACACTAGCAGGCAAGTTGTGATTCCAAGTCAGAGATATCAGGGACTGCTGACAGCAACGCTATCTCCCACTAGGTGGAAAGAACTACAGAGGTGCAAACAGATCCCTGAGAAAATGGCAGAAAAACTTAAATGTGGTGGTTCGTAATAAGCATTCATAACATTGCCTACAAATACATTGCACGTGTCCCGTTCTGCTAACACAGTGACATCTGGGAAGCGTATTGTGTGAAATGCCACAGCAGTCAGTGACTGTAGAAAAGTTGACTCAGTAATCAAAAATAGCGCTGCAACTAACGATTATTCTCAAAGTTGATTAATCTGTTGATTACTTTCTCGATTAATGAATTAGTTGTTTGTTAAAATTCAAGACAATGGTGAAAAATGTCTATCAGTGTTTCACAAAGCCCAAGACGACATCCTCTTGTTTTATCCAAAACCCAAAGATATTCAGTTTACTGTGATGGAGTAGCAAAGAAACCAGAAAATATTCACATTTTAGAAGCTGGAATCAGGGAATTTTGGTGTTTTTTTCTTATAAAGTTGACTCAGAATGATTAATCAATTATCAAATAGTTGCAGATTAATGTAATAGTTGATAACTAATTGATGAATCGTTGAAGCTCTAAATCAAAGATGTTCAGATTTATATCTTCTCCGGTGCAGCTCCCTGACGGCAGGCAGGTGAAGGTGGGTGGAGAGCGGTTCGGGGCCCCTGAAGCTCTCTTCCAGCCTCATCTCGTCAACGTGGAGGGAGCCGGAGTGGCTGAGCTGCTGTTTAACACCATCCAGGCTGCAGACATTGACCTCAGGTCCGAGTGCTGTCCATACCAATGCCCTACAGCTTCTGTATTAACATAAAAGTAAAAGGCACATCTCCATCTACCATCTGTGCAGGTCAGACTTCTATAAGCACATTGTTCTGTCAGGAGGGTCCACCATGTACCCCGGCCTCCCGTCCAGACTAGAAAGAGAGATCAAGCAGCTCTACCTGGAGAGGGTGCTGAACGGAGACACGAAAAAACTATCAGTAAGCACTAATATATTCACTGTATTTCTGCTTCACTGAAGAGGGCTGCAGTGGGTTAAAATGGTTGATAATCTGTATTTTAAAACACAGGGACTGTTTATAATCTGTAATACCTTTGCAACGATTTCATAATCCATTAAAGTAACAACAACATAATCTGCAGTTTAAGCCACAATGTTAACATAATGCATTTCCATTAATTTAATAAATGTTACAGGGCATTGATATAAAAGCTTTTTTCACTCTTGTTGGAATAATAATTGCATTTCATAGAACAAGGTCCACTAACATGCTTTATCTGGAGCTTTCGACCATATCGCATGGTCATTACAATGAAAGAAAACTGAAAGTACCTAGAGCTGAGGCAAGGATAAACATATTTTTCGATAAATTTGAACTCCTTTTTACATATAGCTCCAGAAAATAGTTTGGACTACTATATTGTAAATTATTACTATTTCTAACCAGGAAATGCTTACTTTTTTGTTGTTATAAACCCAAACCCACTATGATGCTGTAATTATTGTTAACAGTAATGGAGAACTTATTTTGTGAATAGGATTATTGTGATATATAGAAGTTTTTTTTACTGCAGTTGCAGCAGCAGTTTTATCTGGTGCTCCAACAGAGGAAGACAGAGCATAAAAGCATAAAAGAGGGACAGTATGTATGTACTGTAGAGCACTGTGTTTTAATGGCCGCTCTTTTGTCTTCACCTGTGTAGAAGTTTAAGATCCGCATCGAGGACCCTCCCAGGCGTAAACACATGGTGTTCCTGGGCGGCGCGGTGCTGGCCAACATCATGAAAGACAAGGACTCCTTCTGGTTGAGCAGGGCAGAGTACGAGGAAAAAGGCCTGGGCGTGCTGCAAAAACTGGGAGTTGGAGTCAAATAAAAATAAAACGGGAAACATCTTCTCCTAAACATTTCAGTTTTTATTTTAACGTCATGCTGGAGGAAAAAGTTTGAATCCAATTTACTTAGCAGAAAATGGCTCTCCTTTATTCATGCAATCGATTAATCAATTAGTCGACTGGCAAAAAGCTGACAGCAATTTTGATGATCATTTCATTGGCATTTATCAAGTCTAAAAGCCAAATAGTCTCTTGTTGCAGCTCCTCACATGTGAATATTTGCTGCTTTTCTCTGTTTATATCATTGCAAACATATTGGCTTTTGGGTTGTTTTTTGTTGAGACAAGCAAGTTGAAAAACGTAATGGGAATTTTTTCGCTATTAATGACATTTTATAGACTAATTACTTGACTCATCTTCAAAATAATCATTTCTATTACAAATAATTGATAGTTTCGGCCTTAATCCCTGCTGAGGTGAAGTTTTATAACAGTAAGACCCTTTTTGCTAATACATGTACAGCATAGTCTAAGTCTCAGGTCATCTGTTTGTTGCTTCCACAACAACTGACCATAAGCTGGGCAGCACTCCAGGCTGATGAGGTAAGCATAAGAGGATTTTGAGGAGGTGGTTTATTTTGCATATTTTACCATAAATCTGTTTGGCACACACTGAACACACACACACACAGTATATGGATACCTGAATCTTTTATGAACTTTTTTTTTTAATACACTGTGACTGATAAATCTAAATTTTTGCATTTGTGGACATTGTTTTTCTGTTGTTTAAACTGGGTCTCTAATTAATGTCAAGCCCATTAAATAAATGTCAAGCACATTATCTAAACTCATAGTGTGCCCAGAGCTCCTGGGACTTTGTAAAAGGCTACTAGAAACAAAATATGCTGGAAAACACCACGGATTTTGGGAAATGTGAAATGTTTAAAATAGTAAACCTGTCAAACTAGACTGAAACTGAGTAATTTTATATTTAATTGTTATTTCTCAAAATAATTATAAACAATGCAACTTCTTTACCTTGATATATATATTTTTTTGCATTTGTGCAAAATATCTGTCTTAATACCCTATCAGAAAAATGTCTTTCTAAGATGCTTTTAAATAAATCAAACATGCCAATTAAAATGTGAGCAGTGCTGTCTTTGATAAATGTTAATAGCTGAACCAGAGACCAAATATAGCAAATCTCATTAGAAACCACAAAGCTCACACACATTTGAGGGTGCTGGCAGTTTAAAGGCAGGAGCAAACTGTTATCTGCTGCCCTCTGGTGGCTGAGTTTGGGTAAGACATCAAATCACAACATCCACAATCCCACTGCAACACAACTTAACAACATTGTGAACAGATATTGCAATTTTTATTGCGATAGTTACCTGACAAAATACAGTAATGTGTTTTTACACTGAAAAGAAATAGTGAGCTCTCACAATGAACACATGCTTCACGCGCACACGCACCACATTCGCAGAACCTTCACGTTAAATGAAAAAGCATGCAATAATGTTCAAAACACACCATAGCTCTCAAAATGAACCTCCTCCGCTTATTAAAAACTCCAGATATGTTGAAAATCCATACTTACGTTTGATATCTACCCAACAAATTGAACAATTAAAAGTTATTTTTAAATACACAATATGATCACTGATAGTGACACTGAGTTGAACAGTCAGTTGATAGTGATGACTTGCAGCAGGCGTCACCAGAAGCTGGTGACTTTTTACATTTACATTCTACCAGTCACCGAACAGGTCCTGGTTTATTGGTCAGACTGTCCTCTCAGTCCGGGTTGTAATGCAGTGCTATTTGACAGTACGGCCAAGAGAAACAGTAGAACTCAAAAGCAGTGGATTGAAACATGAGATGAACGCATGTGTGAAAGGATTAAAGTCTGACACTGAAAACGTTTTTAATACATTCGCAAGTCATTTAGTGAATCTGTTGCAGGTTGTTCTCGGTGTGTCGATGTGATGCCGTTTTATTTTTCTCACATGGTTTTTAGAAACAGAGAGCTGATGCTTTTCTATCACTTCCCTCCTACTCGCTCATTACTCCACCTGCCAAAAACACTTAATAGAGGAGAGTCTGCTCCTTTTCTCAAAAAAAAAAAGCAAAAATAAAAATTGTCTCTGTGGGTGATTCTAAAAATAAACAGCTGATTTAAAGCTTCCCTTGAGCTTGTAAACCTGATTTCTTTCAAAGCAAAACACCTGTTGTGTCACATTATGGCCTTTCTGTATCTGTTTTTTTTTTGTCACTTTGGTATTGAGGTTTGGTCTTGGCTATAACACATCTCACCTTTTGGACAAACTGTATTTCCGGGGGGGCACAGAAAGGTTTGAGTCCCCAGACCTTGTAACAACATGGGTCCATCCGAGGATCAGCCGACTTTTACACATAAATGTGAAGTAATAAAACATCCAAGTGTCTTTTTTGCCCAGAAATATACAGTGAAAGGGTTACATCACCACGGTGGACAATTTCTCCTGTGCCTACTGGAAGTGATTTTGTTTCCAGGCAACAGTAGTCTCACCGAATTTGTCTTTGGATTTGAGCCTCCTCACGTTTTAATGATGTAATCTCTTCAAGGTGTAACTCTGGGTTCATGTTTCAAATAACAACCAAATCCATTTATTACACATTATCCATGTCACAAATAGTACACTCCTTTACACCAGCAGCCACACTGAGTGGTACATAGTACAACTTTTGGCAACAGTCCCTATGTTGGTCCTGCTCTGCTCTGCATGTTGGTCCATTTAGGGAAGAGTTTACCGTTTAAGGTCTGCCCCTAGTCTGGAGAAGGGCTGTAGTTTTTCACAACAAGTCCTGACCCACGACGAGACACAACACACCGCCGGAGAGAAAGAGACAGAACCAGAGAGAGAAAGAGAGAGAAAGCGAGAGCCACCATCCATCTCCTCCTCCTCCTCCTCCTCCTCCCTCCTTCCTCCATTCCTCCCACTCACTCCTCACACACCGACTCGCTCAGGTCCACGGCGCCACCTCTAGTGAGCCGCCGCATCTTGCTGAAGTCGTGGTCGGTCCTCAGGTAGGAGAGCGAGGGACCTCCCTCACTGTGGCTAGCCAGGTCCTGGGGCTGGGCCTGAGGCGGCAGGGCCCTCATCTCGCCGCCACTGCGCCAGTACAGGGTGTATTGCTGCGGGTCGGACACGCCGAAGGTGGTGGCGCACAGCTGCGCCAGTGCCTGGCTGGTCTCCCCGGCTCTCCACTGCAACGTCCGCACGGCGCTCCGCTCCCCGTCCTGGAACAGTATCCGAACGCACCTCTGGATAGAGGGAGAGAGGGAGGTGAAGAGATAGAAAGAGAAAAAAAACCCAGTGAATATATACTGTATTCATGCAAAACAGAGGTCAAGAGGCTTATGGAGTGAGGGCAAAAGAGGGGGAGGAGAGAGAGATGAAGCCAGAGGAGAAGTGAGAGCTGTATGAGCACACACAGGTTTATAATCCACTACAATAAATGAGCCAAAATGATCATCATAAAAGAAATTCTCTCTAAAAAGCTCTCTCCAAAGCTTCTACTTCCCACACACACAACCAGCAGGTCCAAGAGCTTCATAGGAAAATCATCCTCGTGAAATTGCTCTTTTCTCTGTTGCATGTTACAGCTTCATTGAGACAAACTCCAGAGTTTTAATCCACTACAGCATGTCCACGTCCAAACTGATCAAAAATAATCCATTAAGCTTGCTCTACCTTGGTCTAAGTTTTCCCTTTGCACTTTAATCCAAACAGAAACTTTTTGACATTTTCAAAAGAACAGAAAGCGATCAAACACACAACTAACGAGTTGGTCTCAACAATTTCCCCACTTCAAACACTTAGTGGCAATTGTGCCGTATGTAAGCTATTATATAATGTCAGATTCAACCACCTACAGACGCCCTCACAACTCTCTGTATAACACACACAATGAAAACATACTGAACATTATCCTTTTACCAAACATCCAATCTTGAGAAACCAGTGACAGTCCTCTTCTCTGCCACACTCAAACACACACACACCACACATCCTAACTGTTCACACAACCACCCCCCGTAACACACACACACACACACACACAAACACACCACAAGTCGCCAAATATGCTTAACAAGAAAAAGAAAAACACACACCAGCAATTACAATCAACAGGTCTGCCATCATCAGAACTTACAGAGTCACTGAGCTCCTCACTGTCCGTGTGCATATTGTGTTTGCCTGCTTCGATGGGTAGATGCAGCTCAATAAATTTCATGTTATCTGACCGCCCACTTCTTCATAGCACTTGGCTCACTGATCCCCGCCTGTGTCAGAGGAAAATCTGGCTGCCGGGTGAGTTAGATCGGCTATTTGAAGCCAGGAGAGGCACCACGTGACGAGACAGAAACGTTGGGGATGACAATGCCTTTTTTCCATGGCATCTGGTGGACCATTATACCAATCTGGGGCTGGGAGAGTGATAATAGGAGAGTGTAGGTAAAAGTGTGAGTGTATGTGCGGCCCGGTAAGCCGGCAGCCCCAGATCAGCGGATTACATCCAAAATGGCTAAAAACTAATCCCCTGAAATTAATTTGAAACGTGTTTGCGTGCAATAGAGGGACATCCAGGTGTGCTGTCTGAATTCTGATGGATGACCTACTGCTCCACTGAAAATCTTCACCTTTTGCACGACCTTGATACAATTTAAAAACTGTCTTCATCTTCCCCAGCAGCAGCATCATCTGCAGCAATACCTTTATAGATCAACTTTGAATCAAATATGGGTCACTGTTACTCGTTCTAACCCACCTGCCAATGTCACAGATGTAGGATAATCTGATATTGCTCAGCGTGCGTCGCCATCAGTATAATCAATGTAAAGCCAGTCCTCTTTGGATGGATTATCACCTTGTTTTTGTTGTTGTTTGTGTCATTTGAAAGACAGAAAACGTCTGAATTGTTGTACATTGTTTTGTGTTGTAAAAGGTAAAAAAGAGTTTGTTGATGATTCTTAGTGTCTGTTTAAAATTTGTTTTAAGTACCGGACAAGCTGGAGTTTAGGCCCAGGATATCAGGACAGATCATTTCTGGTAAGTTGTCAGTTGCAGACAAGTACTCTAAAGCCAGGAACACATTAGAAGAGCGAGCACATTTCACAGATTACAGTTCTACCTAGTTGCTTACCAGTGGAAGAAGGATTCAAATCCTACCACACTGCAAAAATATTCCACTACATGTAAAAGCACTGGATTAAAAACCTTAACCATAAGTGTTATCAGCAAAATGTACTTACATTTATTTTATCAAAAGTAAAAGTATTCATTCTGCAGTAAAATGTGATGTATGTTGTTTCTGGATTAATATTACTGCTGCATTAATGTGTGTTGTGTGTTGCTGCTGTAGAAGTTCAAGGTTGAGCAAATTTTACCTGCTTTATATCCTGTTAGGTAGTTTCATCTACAGCAATGCATCCTATTCTCTAAGATATTCACATGTTTGCTGTCTTGTGAGAACCACGTCTTTCTACAAAGTCCACTTTTCTTGAGCTCTGTTTTCAGCTTTGTGACCATGCATATTCCAGCTGATCCAAGGGAGGTTTTAAATAGTTTATTTATCTAAAGAAGTGGGAGAATTATTTCAACTCATAAAAGAAAACTTCTCCTTTTTAGTTTATCAGAAAAATATAATTAGAAATCACCCGATTTGGAGATACATGGTTTTCACTGGACTAGATGAACAATTTGTAACTAAAGCAGTCAGACAAATGTAGTGGACAATATATACAATATTTGTCTCTCTAATGTAGTGGAATAGAAGTATAAAGCTAAATTGATTTGAATAATAATATAGTTATATATATTATAATTCAGTAAAATAATATTCATAATTCTGAAATGAGACATTCTGTATAATGAGTACTTTTACTTTTAGCACTTTAAAAAGCAGTAGGGAATTCTTGTAAAAATTCCTTTTTTGTATTTGATTAAACTGTTACTATATCCTGACAGTAGTGCCAGATCATCTGTATTCAGAAAAACCCATCAGGTTCCTCTCACTCCTACTACTGATCCTAATTCCATTTGCAGGAATCCTCCGCTCAGAGTCAAAACAACCAATCAGAGGCAGGAGAACTT